GATTTTATTTTCTCTCTATATTGATGCATTTAAAGTACAGACCTGTTACTTTCATCATTAAATGTGATCCCTGAGTGTTTTCTGACTTTTTATTTCTTATCTGCATTAAGCTGCAGTCTCCAGAATGGTCTCCCTGCCTCCAGTCTCTTGTTGGCTTGATCAGTGCTTTATTTTGTTCTAGTAATTTCTGTCACATTCTGGCTCTAAAACCACCAATGATCTGCCTTACATGCTTCCTTTTCTTTGCTTATGCGGTTCCCACTGAGTTGCTCTTCTCTTGGCCTTTTGCACTGGTGAGCCTGAAGGTGTCCTTTGAATTCCAGTTCCCATACCTATGTGAAGCCTCTGAACTTTTGTCAAAGTTCATCACTCCTCCTTTTATATTCCAACAGCCCTTTCTAAATTCCTCTGAATTCCCCTGGCACAAGTGAGTAGTGAATGATAAAAAGAAGAACGCATAAAAACATCAGCTCTTTGACTAATACTGTTTCTTATTTCTGATTTACTTGAGCTTACTGTGCAGTTGGATTTGAACTTGAGATGCACGTACAGGGCATTATCAAGTCTTGTAGCTCAGATAAGTGTCCCCCATTTTAAGAAGCACTTTCATGCTCTTCCCCTGCACCCTGAACAGATGGTAAAGGATATTTATTTATCTGCTACTTTTATCATCACAGACTTATTAGCAATGTCATGTATGTTTCACACAGATGAACTGGACCACCTGCATGCCTTCAGATTAACTTAGTCTGCTTACGTCAGTGATATCTCCTTGATGTATACAAATTAAAAATCTTGTCTGTATGTCTATTTCATATATACCAACTACAGTATATCGTTATATTTAATGTGTGTGAAAAAATATCATGATAGTTTCAGCACCAGCTCTGGGGTCAGAAAATCTGGGTTCAAATCCCAGCTCTACCATTCACCAGAGATGTGATCTTAGACAAGGTACTTCCCTCATCTGAAAAATAGGGATGGTAATACTGCCTTCCTCATAGTAGTGCCGTGAGGATTAAATGAGATAATAACCTGTAAATGGTTGACAGCGGTAAAAGTACATAGTAAATGTGGCACCTAGAAACATTGGGTCCATTTGTATGGAACAGTGGAGCGTTCAATTCCAAACTCTCTTTCACAGCAGCACTGACAGGTTGCTCTCAGATCCTGAACTGAGTGCAGCAGAAAGCCCTCTGGCTGACAAGAAGGCTCCGGGGAGTGAGCGCGCTGCAGAGAGGGCTGCAGCTGCCCAGCAAAACAATGAAAGGGCCCGCCTGGCCCCACGGCCGTCATATGTCAATATGCAGGTAATGATAAAAATAAAAAGAAATGGGTAAGTCATCCAAATGTAGGGTGCCTGGGTAAGGGAACAGGGAGTTCACTGAGTCTTAAGCAGGAGAACAGAAATTAAGTTTTCTTTCTGCATGCTGGCCAAAATTAAATTTAAATTTATATGTACTAGTTAGGAATTGGTTTTGGTATAAACATTAAAAATGAAGTGCAGGATTTAGTTTAAGTGAGAATTCTTTAAAATATAATATTAAAGATGACATAAATGATCTATATCACTATGTCTTATGCAAATGACATTTTTCATCTGTTAAAAAGAATTTAGATAAATGTGAGAGCTGTTATTTCTCAGCATTATTGCCTCATGTCATAGTCTTGGATAAATAGACATAATATCCTTCTATCTGTGAAACGAAGATAATAACTTTGTTTGGTGTCCTTAGTCATTATAAAAATAACTAATGTGAGGCTTTAGTTTTCCAAAAGTAGATGCTAAATATGATTGATGATTATGTTGGTTCACAGATATTTATGATTATTTTACACTTTCTTCTGCCAGGATTTTCTCTGTATCCATTTTCAAAATACTAGGTTAAGTACTCAAAGCAGACTATTGATCATGAAATTCAGAATTCTGATCTTTATATCGATTGCAGTATGAAAAATAAGGATTTTGTGCTTTTAGAGATGCCTATAAACTTTTGATTTTAGTGTCGGAATCACTGGGTAGACTTACCTACTTTAGTAAGGGATTTATCATCCTTATCCTCCACCTCCAAAAAAGGGAAAACTTTTCACAATATCTTGCAAACAAAGACACTGTCACAGGTATATCCAAGAAATTAATTCATGGAACTAAATTGTATTTCTATAATGCCAGTGAGCACTGCAGTACAATCCTACATGTCTGTTTTTTAAATCCTTTGCATCTGAACATTTTCATGAGTTTTTAGAAGAATGTTTTTATAAAAGCCATGGCCTTTATAAAGTACAAAGTTAAAAAAAGACATTTATTACATTTTCTCTGGTGGGTTTATTTTCAGTTAATATAAATTAGAATTCTCTTATCATCTAAGAAGTATCAAATCCCTTTGTGAACCCTTTATGGTTTTTGTCCATTTTGTGATTCTCATCTTTTCCATCAGGCTTAAACCTACAGTGAACCATTTTCATGGTCCTTTCTTTTAGGATGGATATGAATATTCTTGGTGATAGTGTTTCAACTTAAATAGATGTATTTATGCCATTAGTGAAGAGCTGACTCTTAAAAAATCACTAAGAAGTCAATAATAATAGTCACTGAGCATTGACAGGGAGGAAGATGGAAGACTTCCCTGATTCCTTCAGCTAGAAATGATCTCTGTCTCCTGATTGTTCTTGGAGTTCTGTATCTCCAGCTCTCTCTTCACATGTTTCTCACTTTCTAATTTATTTTGCAGTTATTTCTTTCACCCATTCCTGCTAAGACTCTACATGCTTCGAGGCTATAGATTATTCAATTCATTGTTGTCTTCTTCACAAAGTGCAGCACAGTCCCTTTAACCAAAAGGCATTGATAAATATTTATTGAACAAGTGAATTTAGAATCTCCCCACAACTTGCCCTTAGACATTAGTCATGAAAAGCTGATTTTAATTCCTGGAGTCATTTTTGACTGATGATTTCAAAAAACATCAAACCGTGTCATCTAAAAATCTGACCTTCCCAGTTTACTGGCATGTTCTTTCTGGTTTGTCTGGATCAGCCTGTTTACTTTTTATGATTTTGGACCAATCATTTGTAGCACGGTTTACTCTCAGAAGTGCCCTGTTTCAGACCATTAATTACATGGACACCCTACATATGATGGTATAGTCCTCCTGGGAGGAAGGTCCAAAGAGCTCTTGCCAACTGGTTCTTGACCCTCCTGGTAGACCCTTGAGACATTCTTAAATTGAGTCTAAGCTAGTTTCTAAATTGGGTAGTTGAGAACACTGCGTTAGCATTTGAGATGTAGCTATTGTATCTGGTCTGCTTTCTTCAAAACAGCCTACCTTGGTCCCTACATAGCCCTGACTGTCACAGCCACTCTTTCAGTGTGAACGGGAAGAACAAATGGTGTCATCCTAGTCCTATACAACAAAAGATAACTAGGTTTTATTTTTTCTTTAGGTTAATTTTTTTTAATTTAGGCTTAATTTTAATGTGTTTTAAAAGCTAGACATTTGCCATTTGTGTCATTTCAACAGCAAAGACAATGCTGATTAGGCTAAATAATCTCATGGGTTGTCTTGACATCATGCCACCTTAGGCCATGCTTTACCTAAATGAAGAGGGGACTTGGAGAAACAAAGGAGGCCGACAGAGAACCTGAAAGCGTTTTGATAATGCATTGTTTTGAAATGTAGCATGACTATCATTAGGCTGTGCCCTATACTTTAGCATATGTTGGTCCTGGTGTGTTAAATATTCATAGTAAATAGGATTTTTTTTTCCTTTTGAAGGAAAATTTCTAACTCTTATCACTGTCATGACAAAGTCAGAAGTAATAATTTATTATTCTAGTTAATTAGTTTTGAAAGCATGTTCAAGTTTGTCAGACAGTCTGGATTACTGTCACATTAGCATGTGTCCCTGGCAGATTCATGGGCTGTAGTCAAAATCTTTGTTCCCTAATCATGGGGAAGACATTAAGATAGACTGGCAATAAAGATACTTTCTCTGTTTGATTTTCAGGCATTTGACTATGAACAAAAGAAGCTATTAGCAACCAAAGGTATGTGATATGTTAATGATCTATACTTTGATTTTTTTTTCAATAGACACATAAAAAGGTTTTTCAATATTTATGTTGAACTGTGAAATTGAACCTCCATTTATAAAAAGAAACCCAGAATGTTTAGGTTCATGTTGCACAAATTTTGTTGAGGTTGAATAGATTAGATTATTAGCATTAGATCAATTAAGAAATATGTATCATTTAAAAATTTACCATTACTTTTTATAAAATGTTTCATTTGTGAAGATATTTTAAGGCATTTTGTGTTAAGAAATAATATTCAGTGATAATAATTTCTTTACATGTATCAAAGAAATAATACTCATCAATATTTCATTTAAGAAATACATTTAAAATACCAAACATTTATTTTATGTTCTGTTTCCCAAAGCAATGTTAAAGAAACCAGTGGTGACGGAGGTCAGAACACCCACAAATACCTGGAGTGGCCTCGGGTTTTCTAAATCCATGCCAGCTGAAACTATCAAGGAGCTGAGGAGGGCCAACCATGTGTCCTATAAGCCCACAATGACAACCACTTTTGAGGTTTGTAGCGTCATGCCCTACCCATTCTTCCTGTCTGTTCTCTTCAGCGAAAAGAGAACAATCATCTCTCCCCCTCTCATTCTACATTTACATAAGGCAAGCCATTCATGGTGATTTTTTAAAAATTTCTATTTCTGCAAGTATATTGCTGTGAAATTGATACAATCTAATTGCAGTCTTTTATATGTCTTCTGTAAGTTGTTGACCAGCTGAGAAGGAGATATAAATGTGGATAAATGTGTTTTTGTTACGGGGGAGAGTGTCATAAGTGATACAGCAGGGCTGAGATTAAGCAAAGGACAGATGTAAAAAAATACATAGAGTCCCTTTATCCAAGGGTATCACTAGCAAGCCCACCCTAGGGAGAAAAGGCAAATATTCAAGAAAAACAAGTTCTCAGATATGAGTTAAAAATTCAGTGTGTTCACATGTGCCAGGAACACAGCAGGAAGTATCACAAACAAGAGCTCCAGAGTGTTACGTTTCCCAGACGCCGGCTGCACTGCTCGCAGGGGACTGGGAAGCTGGCATCCTCAGCATATGGAGAAGGGATCCCGAGTCCCAGGCTTCTGGGTCCGGCTCTACATGACTCACTCAGCAAGGGCCTCTGACTAGGAGAGTGTCAGACTGTGGCTCTGAGCCTTTTCTAAGTGACGGTGGGGTCAGAACGCACGTACACACGTGGTACTGGGGAGACCGCGTAAACCCAAACGTGGATGAGAATGATTTATCCAAGAATCGCCGTGTTCAACCACAACACTGTAGGCTGAAAAACAGATACTGGTTCAGAGTTTCATAATTGTTAGTCTAATGACTAGTATTTAGACACTGACCTGCTTTTCTCCACCCGTTTTCTTTGTAATAAATTAGAATGTCAATGAAAGGCGAAAACAAACATGCAGTTTTTTTCTTTGTCCCTTTGAGTAAGTGAAAAAGAAAATGCTATTGAAATACTAAAAAGAACAGTCTCCTGTGAATTTCGTGGTCAGACTTTCAGTAGCAACCTGGCAGGCTGTATTTAAAGACTGAAGTTACTGTCAGCAGCTGGAATGTAGGAACCATTATGAAAAATTTGAGGCTCTAGGAGGTACATGCCTCTTTCTGCTGTTATAGTTCTGAGAGGAAATAAGCATTTCCTTTTGTGGGCAGAAACCTTAAAACCGCTGTGCTAATTCTTAGGCTTCCACTGGTGCACCTACAGTCGTCCACTCCACTTACCTTTGTCATTGGCAGAGTAGAGTATTAGAGATGGCTGATTGAGTTTTTGTAGTTTCAGAGAGGAAATACTCCACTTTAGAAATGCTAATTCGGTTCTCAAAGACCAACAGCCAGGCAGGTTGAAATGGTGAGCATTCTAACAGCGTAGTGGTCAAGTGC